TCTACGTTAACTGTTAATCTTTTTCCTGATTTCCATATTACAATATTATTAAAATTTTAACTTCTAAGACTCTATAAGGTCCCTCAAATTTTGTTTAAATTTAGCGCATACTTTGTTAGCTGCTGAACTTACAGGGTGTGTTTCCAATAAGACCCAATCATTTACCTTTATTTTTATGTCTTTTCTACGTCTATTATAATATTTTTCCCACCTTCCTGTTTAATTTTCGTACTTAGTCTAGCTTCTAAAGCTTTTCTGTATATCTTGAATTTTGAATTTTGAACTTTCCGATATCATAACTAGTTTTTGAAATGGTGTAATCAATTTTCGACCTAAAAATAATTCAGCGGTGTTTTTCCCGTTGTTTCATTCACCGCCGTACGAATAGCGTAAGCAAACTCACGTAAGAATTGATCCCAAGTATCGTGTTGATCATTAACATAATTTGCAATCATTTGCACTATATCTCGATTAACTCTTTCAGTCCGATTTGCTTGTGGTCGATATGCAACAGTCTTCACATGCCTTATGCCTAATCTTTCACTTAAGTGCTCAAAAATCTCGGATATAAATTGGGGACCATTATCACTTATTAATTTTATTGGAGCTCCATAACGCGATATAAAGTTATCAAAAAAAATATCCGCTATTATACGAGATGAGGCCTTTTAAGAGGTATAATTTCAGCCCATTTGCTGAAATGATCGGTTATTACTAAAATATAGCGGTTACGTCTTATTCTCGATATAGGATACGGCCTAACAAATCTAACGTCACTATCTCATTCGGATAATTTGATATAATTGGATTTAACGACCAGCTGGTAACGCGTTTTATAGTTATTAACTTGGCACATATGGCATGTAGAGACATATTGATCAATAAATTTTCTCATGTACGGAAATAACAAACGTCCCGAATTTTATGATACGTTTTAAATCTGCCTAAGTGTCCAGCGATTGGCTTGTCATGAAATTCTCTCATTATTTCATTCCTTAAAGATTTTGGAAATGTATACACGCATTTCACCTAATGACGTTGCGTGTTTCGCATAAAATAACAATCCTTCAATTAAACGGAAATCGTGGACCATTCTCACATATCGTTGCATTAACCGAGTTATCTTCCGGTTTTCTAAATATCTATATATAGACCTAATTCTGGGTCATTTTTTGTTCCTTTATTAATTGTTCCTCGGAAGTAAGTACCAAATCCTTGATTATGGCAATACTAATTTTATCACCAATTATACTTTAATTGATTCCTTGAAAGAATGTCAGCCACTGCATTTTGAGTTCCCGGTCTATGTTCCCATTCTATATTGAATTCTGCTAACTTTAGTGCCCATCTAATCATCCTACTCGACAAATTTTGCCATGTGTTAGGCGTGTTAATGCGGCGTGATCTGTTATTACCTTAATTGGTAATATTCCTAAATATGTTCTAAATTTGTTCAACGCCCATACTACTGCTAGACATTCTCTTTCGGTTACTGTGTACTTCCTCTGCGTTGTTCAGTGTACGTGACGCAAATACCACTGGTCTGTTTTTGTTGGTTAAGTACTGCTCCTAAAACCAATCGAACTGGCATCTGTAAATAACTCGAATGGCTCCTGAAAGTTTGGTAATTTTAAAACTGGCGCTTTTGTTACCGCCTCCTTGACCTCTTCGAATGCCTTTTGTGCTTCATTGACCAGACAAATTTTTAAATTTTCGTTTAAGATTATAAAGTGGTTCACAAATATCCGCATAATTTTTAATAAATTTTCGCGTACCACTGGGACATACCTAAAAACTTGGACACCTCTTTTGAGTTACGGGCGGTTTCATCTCTTGTATAGCTCTAACCTTTGTCTCATCCGTTTTAATTCCTTCTTTACTAATAATTAATCCCAAATATTTCAATTCATCGCACCCAAATTTACATTTTTCCTTATTTAATGTCAATCCTGCATCCTTTAACAACGAAAAAACTTCCCTTAAATGTTCAACATGGTGAGTGAATGATGGAGACGTAATAATAACGTCGTCCATGTAAACACTCACAAACCTCCCTATCACCGGTTTTAGGATTATGTCAATTGCTTTTTGAAAATTGGGAGCTGCTCCTGATAAACCGAATGGCATCCGCTTGAAAGCATAAGTGCCACTTTTTACTACAAATGCGGTCTTAACTATATCGCTGGGGTTTACTGCCATTTGAAAGTACCTTTACTTCTCTAGGATCAAGAGATGACATTATGCTTGTATATATGGTATGTTCGTTAATAAATCATCTATTAACGGTAAAGGGTATCGCGGATACTTTGTGATCGAATTTAATTTTCTTCTATAGTCTACTGCAAATCTATATGCTTCCGATTATCCGGTGGTAACCCATTATTTTTCTTGCATAATACAACAGGTGACGCGTGTATGGGGACTGAATTGGAAATCACCTGCTCTCTTGTAACATTTTTGTATGTGAAAATCTATTGCTTGCTTAGTGCGATCATACCTATAAGGCCTGAAGCCACTGGTGGGTTATCTCCCGTGTCACCTCTGTGGTATAAAACATGAGTAGGCTAATCTCTCGGTTTTGTCTGAGTAATAACCCCTTAAAAAACTGCATCAAACAAAATTTTTGTAGTTTCTTGCTCTTTCTCTTACTTCCCCACCTTGTCTTTTTAGGATGTAAAATCTTATTTCCTAAACCCTTTTTCCCTCTTTAATTGGTTCAACTACCTTATTTATTTGAGAATCTGAATTTTCAACGATTTTTTGATTAAAATCAATACGATTCTTTTGACGCACTATGAAATCTATACCCCAGAATACATGGGTATTCTAAATCTTTCTCAACACATGAAAATGACCAATTTCTTTCGAATTGTCTGATCCTAATTTTCAATTCTACAATCCTGTTTTGGCATTTCAAAACCTTGTGCTGTTATTACCTGCTCAAGTGATTTTAATTTGCCGGTAGAAAAATATTTCTATATACTTCTTCCGATATAAATGATTTATCTGCTCCGGTGTCCCATAGCGCTTCAAAATGTGTTATTTAATAATATAGGAACGTGTGGAAGTTCTACGGTGATAAGGCTATCGGAGAAAGTCTACTTTGTCGACACCTCTGAGGTTGGATCAACCTTTACAATATTTAATCGTCCCTTTTGCGTCCTATCGCCTCGATTGAAATTTTCACTGAACCCCTCTATTTCTACGGTCCCCTATTAAAAATTATCATTTCGCCTCATTCTCCGAAATGAGTAACCCCTGTTGCTGAATCTTTGATCATTATTTTGAAACCCACCTCTCGAACCCTCTATTATTTGACGGCTATTCTCGTAAGATCTTATTTACTGTTATTTTGGTCTACGCCTTATTTCAGAATTCCTCCAGTTTCTACCATTAGCTTCGTACCAGGGCATCCTATGCGCATTTTGACCTCGTCTTTCTATATATTATCGTTCTGATAACCCCTCTCTTTGTAATTTGCAAGATCATCTCTTCGAATTTAGCCAAGACTTCTAAAAGTTGTATCGTGTTTTGGGTGGATTGCGCACTCCACATAGTCTTGTACCTGTGGTTCGAGTCGAACTAAAAATATGATCCACTAAGTCTGCTTGGGACATTCCTAATTCTAAACTTCTCTATTTTTAGTAATCTATACACAAAATCAGTAGTATCCTTGATTTCTTCCCCTGCTGGGATGCATAAAACCTGACTGTAGTTCTTTCTTATTTTGACCGCGGGAAAAGCCTTCGCTAATTCAGCTTTTGAGCTGCAAAACCGTGGCTGTTTTGGGTAACCAACAACGGAACCAAAATATCGAAATACCAATCTTGAGCCCCTTCCCTGAGATGACTTTTTATAAGCACACACAGACAGTATTTGGGATTGGAAGTAACTGTATGTTGTTATTCATACACTCTATAAACTCTGTAATGTTCTCCGACCCTGAAAAAGTACATTTCAGGCAGAACCGTACTTCCACCCCACATTGCCCAACCCAGAATTAAATACGTTCAGTGCCATTGCGACATAGCCATCCTGTGATGACCATGTCGCCGGTTCCGCGTAAGCTAGAGGTGTGGGATTATCAAAATGATGAGACATAAATGTAATTTTAATACAACTTTTATTAAGAATAACTTATATTACTTAAATTTAATTTGACAATTTTAATTAAAGTGAGAGTCGCCTCCAAATTGGGAATCACGTATTCAAGTCAGATCACGCAACTAGATCCTTTATCCCAATTATCATTAATAAATCATTCATCTAATTACTCTATGTCCAATATTACCTTGCAGATCTCCTTCCTTTACCTAAAGAGATATATATCTTCGCTTATATATGAAGATTCCAACTTCTTTTATATAGGATTTCTCATTCCCTTCTAAAGTTATCGGACCGCTAACTCTGATCTACAAGATTTCACACTCAAGCTTTGTCACGCTATCGATCAGAATGATTCCACACTACTATTCTTAAGCTTTACCGCGCTATATCTAGGCTTCTGCTACGCTATATCCTATCATCAAAGCTTCTATCCTTTTTATAGTAAATCCTTACTTGCATAATACTGACTTTTGTTTATCTTCTTGGTATTGGGTTGGAAAAAGTTTTGCCATTAATCGTGGCCGTCAAAGAACATAGGAGTTATGTTAACAGAAAGACGCGAGAGACGTCACAATATATTGTGTAAAAATATCGTATAATGTAATATTTCTTATATCTAAAATTAATTGTAATTATTTTTTTCATTTCTAACTATAAGTTCACTCTCTCCCTATATATTTATATCTTGTTCAAATTTTCTCAAGCTGTTACTAAAATATTTTCTATTCATCCATTCAGTTCAAATACATTTGTTAAAACTTGTAGTGGATGACACCTTGGATGTTAATACAGTTTTTCAAATACTCACTAATTAATTGAATTAAAAATTGAATAAATAGTAACAAGCAAAAATAAGTCCAACAGCATATATAGAAAGGAAAATCGTTCGTTGTATCTCTGTAGCGCAATTGATACCGCGTTAGACTTCTAATTTAAAGGTTGTGGATTCAAATCCCACCTGGGTTGCCCTAATTTCTGAGAATGTGATTTCTTTCTTGCTATACTATTTTATTAGAATAATTAAAGAATAAATAGTAATAAACAAAAAAAAAATAGTCCAACACCCTATATAGAAAGAAAAATCGCTTTCTATTTTGTCACTTAAAAGTGTGATTCTGTGTGACATATGTATATATATATTTATATTAATTTTAACTATTTAATGAAAAGTGACTAAAATAAAATTTTTCTTTGTTGACATAAGTAGGAATTGACTTAAATTTTTTTTTATATTATTTGTTAAACTTAGATTTAACAAATTCAATATTTACAGCTTTTTTGTATAAGATTGTCCAAAATTGACTTAAATTTTTTTTTATATTTTTTGTTGAACTTAGATTTATAACAAATTCGTTACTTACAGCTTTTTTGTAAAAGATTGTCCAAAATTTCCAACTTTTTATTTCTGTATTTTCAACTTTATAAAAATATAAATTATTATTATGAATATTTCTCATTATTTTATCATTTCATTATAATATAATTTATTGTAAAGGATTAAGATTATGGATAGGGCTTGAAGCATATTTTTTGTCAAGGCACATGAGTGTTCTCACGCTTGTAAATTAAAGGGTAAAAGATACTTGATATTTTGAAAAAAATAGACTACTATTAACACATAACCTTAATTAATAGGAGAACCTTAAAAATATGTCACATTTACATTTCACTGAAACATAATACATTTATGTGATAACTGATATTTATTATTATTTTTATTTAAATTTTTTTCAAGAATTCCAGTATTAGTTTGAGAGGCCCTGTGGCTACCTTTCACTAAGTGGAACCAAAAGTAAATTGTGCCTTATTTCCTGTTCATTTCTTTCTTCATAACTGCTTTAACTGGTTCATATTTGGCAAAACCGCAAAGTTGCAAAGGATACAGCACATCACTCCCCCATCTCCTTCCCAATAAACGAAACCTAAAAAATTAAATGTTTATGTGTTTGAAATTAGTTCAAGAAATAATAATTAAAAGTACACTTTATAACTTTTTCATTAAGAACTCATATATTTATACCTACATTTAAATTTTTATTAATATTTTTAGAACGGATCAAAAAGAAAAGATCAAAAGTATTATTTTTTAAAGAAATGTATTTTACAAAAATATATGTAGTAAAATCACATCAAAAATTTAAATAGGACAAGTATATTGGTACATTAGAATAAGTTTAAAAATTAATTTAAAACTTGAAAGAGGTTAATATTCAGAATAGGACAGAATATTTAAAAAATAATTGAAAATATACTATAGATATATTTTAAAATTGTAAAAACAATTGAAATGCTGATAAATAACTTTAAAATGTTATGAGTAAGCAAATTTATAAATTAATTATAACGATTCGACATTAAATAGTTTATTATTTCAAATTCAAAATATATATATAATAAACCTAAAAAAATTTTATTTTGGTGACTTTTAAAACAAAACGAACATTAAGTCACAATTGACGCTGGTTGTTCATGTTATAAGAATACATTTCTTAAGATATCCAACTACCCTAAAATTGTGAATTTTGCCAAATTTTTTTCATGATTTTATTTTATAGGCCATAGGATTTTATATAAAAATGACAAATTTTTTATTTTCCATTCTCTAAAACAAAATTACAAGTGTTTTAGTAAAAGCAGATGCCATAATTTTTACATAAAATGTCAAACATTAAAATAAGTTTTACTCGAAATGTGTTTTTCCACGAAAAACTCAAACGTGGACAGCGATTTCCCAAAAAGGTTTTAAAATAATTTGCTGAAATTTTTTGTATATGTTCTTTCTGTATAACAGTAGAAGTGTTTTAACCTTCAGATTTATCAATCATTGTTTAATTACAAAATTTACAGTTCTTTATGTGAATATAATCACTGTTTTTTATGCAATTTCATATAATAACTAAAATAAAGTACTCTAGTTTTCGTAAAAGTAAAATATCTCTTATTCTGAAGGTCATATCAAAAGTAAATATTGAGATTTTGTTCATTTACTATTTCTACAAAACGGGCCCCGTTTATTTAATTTTTTTGTCAATTTTTACCCATTTTAGAGTAATAATTTATTTTTCTCTTCTTAATTTTAGCCTTTTTTTTCTTAAAATGTACTAAATAAACTTAAAAATCACGAAAAAATCCCCATATTTACATTTATATATAAAAAAAGTTTTCACAAGTAGTCAGATAACTTAAAATTCCATAACAAATGTTAAAACAGCTTTAAAATCCGAAAAATTAAAAAAAGTAAACCCAAAATGCCTTCAAAATTCTATGGAATACTGATAAAAAAAAGTTGAGACTTACAATGTACTTTTTCTTCGCATAGAAAATATTACCAAGATTTAGTTACTTATTGATCAATGTCAAATGTGGATCGATGTGAACTTTACGATTATTTAGTATTCAGTGTCAGTGTGCAATTGAAAAATCTAAGCGTGGCCTTGGAATCAATTTTTTTTCAACATCTCAAAACCCACATACCCATGTGGTAACGTACGAAACGGCATAATTCACTAATTTTTTCATTCATGTCCTTTGATGTGTTCTTAATTTTGAGCACAAGAGGCGGTGTCGATTGATGCTGCGAGGGGAAAAGTATCGAAATTACATTCCGCAAGATAGTATTGCTAAATGCTTTTCATGATTAATTAGAGTAGCGCGTGAACTTTTATTCACTTTCAGTGTTATATAACGTTTTTTATCACTTAAAATGGTTTTTTGTGAATTTAGGTATATAAAGACTTCGAATTTGCATGGAATTTTTCATTCGTCTTCTGTTCTGATTTGAGTTGGGTATCAACTAAAGCTTCAATCCTTCCACTATGATCGCTAAGGTAAGAAAAATTTCCAGCTTAGATTTTCGTAGTGTTATTTCGTAGTACTCTGTTAAAGTTCGAAAAAATAATCTTTTTGCATATGTTTTTTGGGCTTGTATTTTTTCTTCGCTAGTAATTTTAAAATTTTCTTTTTCCAAGTTATTTTTCCATCAATAGTCTTTTGATTTTTTTACTTTTTAAAATGCTAACTTTAGATTTACATATTGTTTAGAGAATTTTATTTGGATCCCTATACTTAACAGCTATGAATTCAATTATATATACATGTTGTCAGAAATATTATATCGATCATAATTTAATTATCACCTATACTTGAATTTAAACTGTGTATGTGTGTGTGAAGTTTCTCATTATTTAAAAACTTAAATTTAATGATATCAAATATTTTTTTAACTCGCTTTGAAAACCCAATCCTGGGTATGTTAATCGTCAGTGGTCCGGTAAACCAATAAATTTCACACTAGGTCGGTTCTTGAGTTCGAACCCAGTGCCTAAAGATCCGCCTTTGGAGGGCTGATGCCGTTAAGTCTTTAGAATTTCTTTAGTTTGTATATGGGGAAAGTTCGGGGAGGGGGCAGTTTGTCATGGCTCAAACCAAAAGGTTGTTTCCAAGCCCTCGTGTTGCCTTGCATTCCGACGTTATTTAAATATTTACTCTGCAATCATTCGAAGCGAATGCCTTGATTAAATCCATTTTTAAATTATAAACAATATATATAATATCTTTTTTTAATTTAAATCCCAATATTTTTTGAAATAAGTGAATTTCAGAATACATTTATATCAATCCGCGATTTTTTCTTTAAATTAAAACCAGAAATCTTTTTAAACTTTTAAATTTGGTATGATAATGCATAACAGTTTTGCCCTTTTTAAAGTTATGTAATCAATATTTAATAAATTTTTTTAAACTAAAAATAAAAAGTACCCTTTTATATGATGTTCTAAAAATATATTTGGATTCGGGAACAAAAATAGATAATTTTGTGTAAATTTTTCTATCTTTAATAAGTGTCTAGAAACTTTTTTTTTAATGCATCATATTATTTTTTTTGAACCCTCATTGCGCCTTAGCGCGTGCTATCCCAAGCCCTCCAAGCTTCTGCCCCGGCTCTTCCTCACGCTGAGGGGAAAAAAAAAATAATACATTAACTAAAAAGGGGTTTCTTTATTATATTACTGCAAAGTATCGTTTTTTTGCTTTTCTTTAAAAAAGGAAAAAAAAATTCGTTTTTGATGTTTTTTTTCGTAATCGTTATTTTTTTCCCCCCTTTTCTTTTAAAAACCCTAAGCCCCCCCCTTTGCTAAAAAAAGTACTTTTAAAACTGTGTTTTAAAATAATAGCCACTTTTCAATCAAAAAAATTCTAAAATTTTTTTAAAAAAGCCCCGTTGAAATAGGTATGTGTTTTAAATTATTTATGATTTTTTACTCTTAATATATCATTTTAAAAATTTTTTGAAAAAAAACTTGTTTCTTTCAAGTAAAATATTAAATTGATTACTTGAACTGGATTCGAAACCAAATATTAATTCTACAAACATTTAAT